AGCCAACTTTTCCACTGAAGTTCGAACTTTTTTTTCAGAAATATCATATGTTCCCAAAAAAAATTTTTTACAGACTCTATGGTTTGTTCCATTAATACTAATAGAATATTCTAAGGTTTGTTTGCGTCGATTATTATCACCCATGTACCTTCTTTTTACAGGAACACTTGTCACTTGTTTACCAATAAACGACCATCTAGCTCTTTCAGTTTTCAAAGTTAGGTAGTCGGCCAACAATTGTTCCCGTATTTTCCTGTTAATATTAGTAGTGCATTTGCAGTCAACTTCTTGCACGGTTTTAGCACGAACATTTGCTCCGGCTCTGGTTTCGTACTCACTGCCTGCCATCCTTAACTTTTTTTGAGCATTTCGTTTCCATTTCTCTGGATTTCGCTGGCGCTTCCTACTCAAATTTTCTGTTGGTAAATCGGAATTAGTGATCCCGTCATCGCCTGTAACAAGTTACATTAGATATTATTTGACAAGATTAAAGTAATCGGGCTGTGGTTTAAAAGATTAACAAGTTGTTATAGGTAAAAATAAGAGACATTCCTTTAGAGTCTGTGAGTGTTGTAACATTAGATTCATCATGCTTTTGGATGTCAGTCTCGGACGCTGAATACAAGTTTTCTGTAAAGTTCTCAAAGACACCTGTAAAATGCAAGATTTATAATATTAGTAATAGGAAAAGTTTCTACAACAAACAAAATAATATTATAAGTACCTTTAGAGTGTGAGCTTCGATAAACATGAATAATATCAGCATTTTCCGTTAGTTCATTTAATTCGTCAGGCTTTTGAATATGGAGTCCAAGCTCTGCATATTCCTTTTGTCCAATATTCTTATCATTAACTGTAAAAATAAAAGATTCATATTATAATAAAACGGAAGTCCAATAGCCCAGCTCAAATATTTACAGCAAGTTTTTATTACAAGTAAAATAAGCTTAAACAAATACCTTCAGAGTTTGTACTTGGTATAACATTACGAAGCTCAGTGTACATGGCCTGTTGACTAGATTGAACAGAGCTTTTCTCCTTTATCCTCTGTTCTGATTGTCCCATTTCTATAATGTTCTTATTGGTAGAAATCTACAGAAAAAAAAAATTAAATATAAATATATTTCTTATTATAAGAATTGTACAGTTAATGTTTGCCTGACTTAAAAGATATTGGTGTCAAAAAAAAAAAAGAAATAAAAAATACCTATAGAACTGCTGCTTGAAATAACATTACTAAGCTCAGCATATGTGGCTTTTTCAATAGTTTCATAAGAGCCGTGAGTCACAAGGTCCGCCTCTAAATACCCGGGTTGTGCAATTGTCTTGTCAGCAACTATAAATAGAAATAATAAATAAAATAATATAATTAGAAAATACTCCATACAATACAGAGTATGGCTTTAATGATCATAAATATAAAATTTATTGCAAATAATAGTATATTACATAACGAGAGTTGTAAGAAGCTTATTACATGCGAGTAAAAAAGTTGCGCGCGAGCCGCGTAGCGGCGAGCGCAGTAATTTTACAAGCTTGTAATAAGCTTACAACTCAAGTTGTGTACTATACTTTTTCTACCATTATTTTCGTTTATAAAAATAAAAATTAAATTACCACTATATTTACACTGACAGTTTAATAATTTTTAATCTGTCAAAATAACGTCTGTTAATTCGTTTCCATGGTAACTCGACCATCTGACTTACAAGGCTTATGTGATATTACACATTTTTATAAAACTGAAGCGTAATTTTTTTTATTACGTGCTAGTCATTATGTGTCAGTATCTGTTATGATGCATTTACTTAGCATCCAAATAGTAGGTATTAGACAATTTACTAGTAAGAGAGTAGAAAAAGAAAATTAAAATACCTTTAAGTGTGGGCTTAGAATAACATTATAAAGCTCAGAAAATTCAATTTAATCGTCCCAAGTAACTAATTGAAACATAATTATAATAATAAACTATGCACAAGTAAAAACAATTTATGGAATAATACTTGAGCTTCCTTGGCTCCTACTCAAGTGTATTTTGCACATAAATGTAGTATTAATTGTGTATAATTGCTTACCTTCGGGGTTTTCTTGATTTAAAACTGCTGCAACCATTCGTTTTCCACGTACGCAACTCATTATTTTCTTTACTTTTATCACTTCCTACACATTAACAGAAATATTTTAAAAAGAATAATTTATAGTAGGTTCTGTTTAACAACGAAAGCCAATACAAGACTACCAGCTAAACTGTAAAACTACGTGGCAATGATCAAATTCTAAAGATTTTTGCTGGTTAATAATGGTCGCATTTCTAACACGACCCTATCATCAGGTAAAGTAACTGTAGTCAAAGGTCGTATGCCACATACACCTCTTGTCAACAGAGGGAAGGATATAAAAAATTATTTTATTTTGGAATGTCAATAGACGTATGTTGCTTGCTACTACGGACTGCTTTATGATATGTGTATTAAGCCTATTGGCAATTTACAAAATACCTTACTAGGAGATATTTATAGGTAAAATTCATTGACCACATTTTTTGACGAATTTAAAGTAGTCTTGCGTATTTACCTCCGATTCATAAAAATTGTGGATTACGCCTTTTGACGACCAAGGCGACGACATATTTTTAACAACATATATAAATGACGCATTACTAAAAAAATGGCTTAACTCAATGAGTTCGTTACCACAATTATTCTAAAGATTATACAGAATTGAATTTATACAAAATGTGAAATATATAAAAGTGACTCTCATTTCGGATTTACAAAGGACTTGCGAGTTAAACACTTATTCAAAAATTCATGGATCACCAGAAAAAGTATATCTCTGATTCATCGATTACTAGAAGACTTTTGATAGAGTCCATCATGCAAAATTGTTATATAAACTATAGAAAATAAAGCTAGATGGAAAGGATTTCCGCATAATTCAAAACCTTTATTGAAACCAAGAAGCAAATTTAAAATGAGCGCTGTTTCATTGATTTTTAACGTGTACTCTATATTTATATTTAAACAAGCACTAGACAGCGCCAAAATTATTATCAAAATAAACATTAAATATATTAACAATATCAGGTATGCAGACGATATCATTCTGATAGCAGAAAAAAATTAATAACGTACAAAATATACTAGATAGAGTTAATATTAATAGTAAAGCAATGGGACCCCCAATAAATCTTCAAAAAACTAAAGTAATGGTAATTAGAAAATCAATTAAAATTATTGTATTAATCCAAATATCACCTCTTCTTTTCTTCTTAAGATTCTTTCTCCATTACTAAAGGTTGACTATAGCTACAGAAAATTGATCTCTATCTTAAGCTGTTCTTAGTATCAAATATGTGTCCATGCCTGTCCAGTCTCTTACATTTTTTAGACAGAAGCATTTTCTTCTTCCTGGACTTCTTCCTTCCACTTTCCCCCTCCATTATCAGTCGTAGGAAGTTGTATTGTTCTCCTCTGTAAATAGGTCCTAGATAATATATAGATAATATATAGATAATATCCTAGATATGTCGTTTTTCTGGTTTTTACAATATTTAGGAGTTCTCTATATCTTCATTTTTTTCAGCGCCTCGTTATTGGTCACTTGCTCTGTCCCAAAGATCTTTAGCATCCTTCGAAAAATCCACATCTCAAAGGTTTCTATACATTTCATACTTGTGATTCCGGGAGTCCATGTTTCCACTACGTATAGCAATATCGAATAAATGAATTTTTTCATTCTTTGAAAAGCGGACCTAGCATATTATATACGAGCACGTATTTCAAATTGTAGTCAAGATCGTTTGTTATCCAGTAACCAAGATAAAGGAATTTTTTTACGGGTTTTACATTACTTTTGTTTTATTTTTGTTTATATTCAGCCCCAAGCTATCTAGCTCTCTGGTTATGGCAGTCAAAAGTCGTTGCAAACCCTCAGCACTGTTCACAATAATGACGATGTTGTCTGCGTGTCTTAAGTTGTTTACATATTCTCCATTGATTTTTATTTCTTCTTCAATATTTTAGAGGGCATTTTTGGAAGATCTTTTCGGACTATATATTAAACAATAGTGCAAACAAGTAACACTTAATGAGAACAATTTCACAAATTCAGATACTTAGGTGTATATCTAAATGATAATTAGGATTCAGATATGGAAATAAAAAAAAAACGAATATAGCAGACTAGAAACATGTAGAATAAATGAAAGCAAATTATCTAAAACCTAAAAGTAAGTGTATACATTGGAGTAAAAGTTATTAAATGCTACACGTGGTTAGATCTTCTGTATAAAGTTGAAACTTCAACATTAAAATGAAATACCATAAGACGGATTGAAGACTTTGGATCAGGCCTTACTACAGAATGCCCAGAGTATCATGGACACTACTCATTACAAATCTAACAGTATTAAGCACCATAAATAGAGAGATAGAACTTCTATCAACGATTAAGAAAAGAAAGATCTCATACGTAGGCCTCGTAATGAGAAATGACAAATATAATCTGCTACAAATAATACCTAAAGAAAAATAGAAACCCAAAGAGGAGTAGACAGAAGAGCATGTCCTGGCTTCACAATATCAGAGCTTGGACGGACATGAACGTTAAATAATTATTACCCATGGCGCAGAATAGAGAACATTTTGATGTAGTGATCACAATCTCCAATACTGGAGTGAAGCAGAAAAAGAAAATCTCTCTAGTGTGTGTGTTGTTTTGTTTTGGTTGGTATATTATTATTTTTGACCCGTTTCGTATAATATTTATCACTTTATATTCTTGGTACATATTTAATACATAGTGCAATTCTAGAACAGCTGTACTATGATCAAAATTATATCACTTATACTGTACTACAACGCTTGTAAAATTCACTTTAAATTAAAAAAAAAATGTGAAGTATCATTGCAATCTATAAATTCGTTACTATTAAAAAAATTCATTTATTGTGTTTCAACTATCATTAACTCCAAGTAGTAAAGTTTAAAGTGTACAAAATGAGCAGAAGTTTAACAAACGTAATATTGCTAAGTATATCATTTTTATTTGTATATATAGGAACTCAAACGACGAGCAACATTCAAATAGTTGTCATCGATAGTATAAAGAAAGACAAACCATCTTATAAAGAAAATGGATATTACAGCCAAGCTATAAACAACGCATTTTATGCTGTATCCACTTGGGTAGTGCCATCAATCATGAATGTTTGTGGAGTAAAAGTGTCCTTGTTCTTAGGCGCTCTTGTAAATGTTTTGTTCATATTACAATTTATGTTAGAAAAAGTTTGGATTTTATACCTCTTCTGTGGTTTATCAGGCGTTGGTTCAGCTTTATTAGGAACATCACAAGGTGAATATTTAGTTTTCAATTCCTCAGAAAAGACGATGAATAGAAATACCGCCCTATTTACAATTATTTCGAGTTTTAATATGATAATTGGCAATATAATCGTTATGTGTGAATTTAATGGAACAAACAAAATAAATAAGAACAGACGTATATTGGTTTTGGCAATCTTAGCGGGAGTGTGTACAGTAGGGTCATTATTATTTATGTTATTACCAAAATATAAAAAAGAAAAAGTAAGTAAAGAAACGTATAGTAAAATTGGAGCAATGGAATCGTTCACAAATACAGTTAAGTTATTTATTACCAAAGATATGTTACTATTAAGTGTAAGTTTTTTATATGGTGGAGTAAACGACGGATTTTTAAATGGAATTTACTCGTCTGCAGTAGGTTTTACACAAAAACTTCACAATTGTAAACAATTGGTTGGCTTAATAGGAATATTTATAGGCATCGGAGAAATATTTGGAGGTATCATAATAACGATTTTTGGCGAAAAAATTGAGTTTTTGGGTAGGAAACTCTTAATAGTGATTGGGTGTTCTCTGCACAGTTTAAGTTTTATTTTAATTTTTATTAATCTTCCAGATAATTCTCCATTTGCCGATACGAAAGACGCAGCAATTATAGAAAGTAATACGTTTCTTGCAATTTTTTGCTCGTTTCTTTTAGGTCTAGGTGACTGTATAATTGGAAATGTTATCTTTAGCTTATTGGGAACAGTGTATTCTCAAAATGCCGCTGAAGCTTTTTCCGTATTACAATTTTTTGGGGGTATTGGATCGGTTATTAATTTTATGACTGCTGAACTAGTAGGACTTTATTATCAACTTGCAGCTTTATTTTTATTAGGGATATTAAGTGCCATATCCATTATAAAAGTAGATATTTCTTGCCAGCAAAATTTATTAGTAGAAAATAAAACTAATACAGATTTTTCGTATTAGTTTTAAACTGAAATCTCAATAGTTTTAAGCATATTATATTTTGAAATATCTTCTAAAAAGATATTGTAGATAGTATAATTTTTTTAATGTTTTTATACGCAATTTGATATTTTTAAATATGTAATAAAAATATATTATTTTATAGATTCTTGTTGTTTTAATAATGTAACGTTTGTCGTCTAAACCCTTGTCGTACTCGTTGTACGACAATGAACGAAATGTCATTGAACGAAATGTCAATACTGTCGAGTGTTGTACCCCTACAGAAAAAACCTAATGGTGTGATAACCAGTGACCGAGCTAGCCATTCTTTTGAAACTCATCGTCCAATCTATCTACCATGATGGACTTGCTAGCCATAATAGTGTGCAGAAGAATCATCGTGTTAAAAAAGGTATTTCCATGTTGCTGAATTCATCTATATTAACTTAGAGAATTTTAGGAATTAACGGCAAAATTGCGTTTCGTAGCATCTCCAGAAACAGGTCACCAGTTAAGTGAGCAGTAAGAAAAACAGGCTTCAGTATGTCGTTTTTCAAAATACCTGCCAAACATTTACTTTTTCTGGATCTATGTCACCAAAATACCTCACACAGAGTGTGTTTATATTTCCATTAATGGAAAAAGTACTTCTCCCACTAAAACAAATTGTTTTTATGTAACCTGGCTGTTGGTTAATTTGATTTGAGATATTTTACAGAATTCTGCTCTTCGGTCGGGGTCATCACTTGAAAGTTGGTTCACAATATTTAATTTGTATGAATAAAATTTGTTTTAGGTAATACTTGGTGTACTGTTTTTTTATACTGATTTTAGAGATAGACGCATTTTATGCTGTAGAAAAAGTAGGGTTTTCTATCTTTTCTGTAGTTGTGTCATTTTTTTTGTCATCACTAATTTTTTGTAAACCAGATCGTTTGGCATCTTGAGCATCACTTTTTTGAACGTCTTAGGAATTTCTTCAAATTTCCTTAGACGCCCCGTCAACTACGTCTTCGATAAGCGTTCCGTGCCTCTCGTTAAAAAGACGTTTTGCTGCATGTAAATTCTTTCTATATTCACCAATTATTAAGACAGCTGTGAGTTTTTCAGCTACAGTACAAACCACTCTGCCTCTGTAGATTTTAGACATCTCGTTAAAATATTTAAGGTACAAACACTTCCGTAAACACTTGTAAAAACAAATAGAGAATTGAAAAAAGTCAACTTTTCTGAGAAATAACCAGAGGCTGACGCTAGAATCTTTATTAATTAAATAAGAAACTAAAATTTATTATTTATTTACTTTATTTATAAAAATCAATATAAACCCAAACCAAAATTAGTATGATTAAATAGGTATGTTCAATTACTGTAAAACTATATTGAACTTGCCATAAAGTCCCATTTAAAGTTATCAATCACAGTAGCTCTGTAACGTTTACTCTGATTAGCACGCAAGCGCAATTTAATTAAACCCAGCCTGTGAGACATGTTCACTCCTAAGAATTACGTTCGGGTGTAACAATTCATTGTAGCGATTTGTATTAATTCGAGTAAAAACAGGAGTCACTCCACCACGCTTCATTGCTCCAGATCATGCCTTTCCCCCCATAGCACTATGATTCGCGATAGGGGCACAACTATCAGCCAAATTCTCTTCATGTGGGTGTCCTGGGTAATATAATGCCAACATAGTTGCCTAACCGAATCAAAATCAGGACAGCACATTGTCGCTATGATCCTATTATCTTAACCCAATAATGCCCAGAACTATTTATGCTTATTTTTTTTAATTTCTGAAAAATTTATGTTCTAAAAGTCACAAAATTAACAAAATAATATGTTTAAAAAATGAAAACCTTTTTCTTTTTTGACAATTGGCTGTTGCGAAAACGCAACACTGGACAGTTGGGATGTAAATTTTTTTTCATAATATTTGTTGTTGTTGGAATATTTTGTTAAATCATATAAAAGAGTTTTAAGTAAACTGACATAAAAATAATATAAAAGAATTATTGCGTATTGCTATGACATTTAATAAAACATTTTTCATGCAATGCAACCTTACATTTAATACATTTTTTATTGGTTGTTGAGTGACAAAGGACGCATTGGGTTCGGTTTTCTTGGGTAGAAATAAGATCGCCGATGTTGTCGAATCGAACATCTTGTGTAATGTTGTTTATGGAAGATTAAGATGGACCAGATCTTCTTGGAGGAGTTCCGAACATCTTCAACAACGCTTTGGCTATATTTCGACGAAACTGCAGCAAATCCATTTCGGGTTGTTTAGGGATAATTTGTCCTATTCTACGGTAAATTAACCCAGCATTTTGTATGTAGACATCAAGACCCCAGATAAATGAAGGACAATACCATTCCTTGGATCTTATATTTGTTCTGTAATAGGCAAAATTTTCTTCCATCCGATCGACACTTTTCTATTCTATTTGATCGTATGTTTCCTACGTAACCTATTCCCTTCGATATTAAAAAATCAATTAGTTTCATAGAGGTGAAATAATTACCAGTACATAAGCAATGAGGCATAAAGATCTGTAAAAGAGTAAATAAAATGAAGGAGTGTATGTGTTCCATTGAGTTTTTTTATTTTCAATGTCCAAATAAAGGAAATTTTCGTCTTTTAAATCTAAGATTTAAAATATTAAGATAGTCAATAAGACAATCCTAATAATATTTAAAATATTATTAAGATTGTCTTAATAATAGGAGAGTTACACTTTTTACACGAATCTCAGTAGATGCCACTTGAATATCTTGATTTTCTTTATTTTATGTCTCTTCTTCTGTTTCCATCTTAATCTCTTCCGTATCTTCTTCTTCCTGAATTTGTATCACACTTTGAAATCGGCCTCTTTTTCATATAGATTTATATTTTCTCTTTTTCATATAGCTTCTGATTCCCCATCCAACATATTTTTGTTTGGGTTATTGAATGTGAGGAACATTCAATAACCTAACAGTCTTCATCTCCACTATCTTCATCAGTCAAATCAGTGGGTCAGGAGATGCTAGGAAAACATCTGCTCTGGAAGCCGACTCCATAAGATTCGATTATTCCAGCATGGACATAATTTTATGTGCTCTTGATTCGTAAGAAAATTTTTTAGGACGACTATTATTACTATTACGACCGAAACTGGTCGATCCAAGTTGATTTGACATCTTATTTCCACATTTTAGAATAAAAATGATTTTTTGTGCTAATAATATGCCCTGTGCCCAGTGTTGCGCAAACGCAACACTAATAATTGGGCGGTTGTACCAACTAGACAGATAAAATAATAGCACTTACTTGATAGAAAAATCCTCTTCAATGATTTAACAATACGTTCCTATCAAAAACCAAATATTTGTCCAGTTAATTTATACACAAACGACTTACTACTAACTAAAAACACCTGTTTACAGAAGTCAAAATTACCCTACCACTTTCAATACGCCATCTGTTAATAAAAACTAAATTTTGCGACCAATTCCCACTAAAACATACATAGCAAACTGTTGTGAAATAAATCTGAACCTTAACTTCCCGAATAAGTCATGTCATTTTCCAAAAGATGACGCCATAGTGGGCTATGTCAACTGTTGCGAAAACGCAACTCTGGGCATAAATGGGTTAATGTGACTTATCCACTTACTAAAAATTGCTTACTTGGGCCTAGAGTCTCCGCTCTAAGCTAGGCCTAGTTCGGCGACTTGGTGCTCAAGCAGTTGGGCACTACGTGCCCGGGTTTTGGGGTTTTGTGGAAGTTTTTTTTTTATTGACTTGCGCTGGTTTTTGTCAGTAAACTTTTTTTAGGCGGTTGTTTATGTGTTTCTTGGTCTTATTGTAGGTTGTCTGAAACAAAAAATCATAAATTAATAAAATGTTTATATTATAATATGAAAATATAACAATATAAAGTTTGTCCACTTAAAGCAACTAGGACCACGCTTTTCGTTGCTGTTGTCCACGAGTTTTTTCGCGTTACGAACTGTCTTCTTAGTGTGCTTTTATGTTGTTTTTGTTTGATCTCTCTCTGGTGTTTTGTTTTGTCTCTGGTGTTTTTATTGTTTTCCCTCTAGTATCTTTTGGTATTATTCGACTATTTGTTGTTTCAATATTTTATGCTTCCATTTATGGAAAGCGTCATACCTCATCATCTCTCGCATTATATGACTTGGATGGTTCTTTATCTCTGCAACTTTGTTCTTGCTTTTTCTTTCATAATCTCAGTCACTCAAGTCAGTCAATTGCAGATTTGCTGCAATTCTCTAAAGAGGAATCTTTCTGCAACGTATCTCGGTACGTTGGCTGCTTCTCTTAGATTGCTGTTGTGTGCTGCTTTTATTGCCGTATTTGTTTTTTGTGCCTTATTTTCTTTTTGGATGTATTGCGTATGGGTCCCCATGCGACAGATGGATATGTTAGTATAGTCTGTCCAAAATCCTTCTTTCAGTGCGTCACTAATGTTGACTTCATATAGGATTTTATGGACGTCAAGAATTATTGCATGACATTTTAGTTAAATCCGACAGTTGCAGGATCATAATCGGCTAAATATGAAAAGGTTATTTTTTAAATGTAAGTAAAAACTTAAATTTTTATTTATTTTACATATTAGAGGTCCCGTCCTATTAGAGGTATAAAATTTTTTATTGCGGATTATATTGTAACGGCAGTTTGTCATAATTCTATTCTATTCTGTTCTATACATTCCAATGAAAGTGCTTAATTAACTAAGATGTGTTTATGGATTTATTATTTCTTAATATAAACACTATGAAATAGGAATATTTGTTTATTTAAAATAACGCTTCCTCCTAGAATCTCTTTAAGAGTTGACTGCGAGATAAAAAAAATTACTGGAAATTGCAATGCATCAAAGCCAACATTCCTGTGATAAAATAACATGGATTTAAATCAGTCATATTTGGGTAAGTAATTTTCCGATAAGTTTTTGTGGCAGCCAATAGTTTAATTTTGTGAAGATTTATCATTAAATAGTGGAAAT